AACTCTGTTTGTGAGCGGCGTGAGAATAGTCGGCTCTTGTTTGTGGATGATTTTTGCAGGACGGGCTCGAGAACCTAGATTTTGTATGTGAGTTTGTTGTTGTATCGGGCTCGCTACGGCTGTACATACCTTGAACGTAGATGATAACCCCTCACGCTTTTTGTACAGAACCAAGTACCTGTCCTTCAGACGGCCAGCGGCAAAGAAGCCCACTTCACGGTTTCCAGACAGCTTCTGCGGGGCTCGTCGAGCAGAATCTTGAGATGACTGGGAAGTTTTCCCATTGGCAGGACAGACCACGTCGAGGTGGTATGCAATCAAAGACCGATCTGCGATCAATAACAGCAGATTGAAATCCTCAAAGACTGCAACTTGTGTGACCCGCGTTATGGGAATAGCCCTGTACCAACCCCGTGGGTTATTAAGCTCAGACATGTACAGTCCATAGTCCGTGCCAATTGCACACATAATGCGCCCAGGTGGCTGTTGGAAAACCGTGGCACAGTTGACTGCAGTCCTGCATACTGCCGGAGGACGAGTCTTCGAGCTTTCATATTGCTTCTCGACTTCTTTGATCGCACGATGCAAAGGCGTGCCTTTGATGGTGACACTTGTAGATCCGGGTGTATGATCAGAGTATGCGAACGCAGTGTCGGCGAGCACACGGAGTCGGAATGGCTCGGCGTTCTGCGAGAAGAGAGCAGCAGCATGCTTCGTCTTCGCTTCGATGATCTTTTGGCACCATTCCAGGCGGCTTTGTACCGAGAAAGCGTACAGAGTATATGTCCCGGTTTTGCCTAGATGCTTGATTTTGAAAGGGTACAGGATCTTGTCGTCCCTTGAGTTGTCAACGGCCCCGTTTGATGCCCCAGACCCTGTATGTGCAAGCGGGCTGCCAGCACCCGCCTGGGAGGGTGTGACAGTCGAAACTCCCCTGACGGATGATTTGACCACAGGATCATCGTCGGTGCTTTCTAGGCCCAGTAGGTCCATTGGGATGGGCAGTTTTGAAATATCGTATCGCTCGTACTTCACTGCCCGGTCGCGCATCGTGAATATCTTGGCGAGAACAAGATAATGGTCGAACAGGATGGCGTGTGTATCGACAAGGAATCTCGTGCGGGTTCCGGGACGTTGCAGCTCGCCTCGATGGATGATCTGTCGACCCAAGTGTTCGAGATTGAGTTCAACTTCTTTCTTCATGTCGGGTCGCAATTGCAATTTGGATGCCAACTCCATCAAGTCGGCCTTCTTATTCATCTCTCCCACTTTGTTGTCACATTCCAGCGCCACGACCTTGATCTCTTCAATAGCCTGGGCCAGATTTGTCTTTTCCTCGGAATCCTTGACCATATTCTTGTGGACAGTCGCCAGCAGAAGAGTATATCGTTGAATTCTGGTAATCGGAGCCTTGAGGAAAGTATCCCAGCTAAGGCGACTTGACAGTTTGTGCTCCCGCGCTTGGTTCAGGAACTGCTTGAAGTGTGGGTTACGCTCAGCCTCCTTGCGCACAAGATAGTTTGCCGTTGGGAATGTTGCGGCATAGTCGATATAAACGTTCTTAGCTTTGCGAATCCATTCCCGGAAGATGTCACTAAATCCAGAGATGAAAGGCCCTTGTTCCTTCTGACGATATTTAAGCTGTGCCAACAGGAAGTCCTCGTTGACTCTCTTTACAGCATCGACCTTGCCGAACACGTCGGCCAAGAATTTGGGCAATCGCTTCGCCGGCATGATTGGAGGATTCATCTTAGCCAATTGATCACGATAAAGTTCTCGTAGGACATCCAGTTGCGCGATGTAGGAGTCTTCCGTGGTGACAATTTCGTGCAAATTGTTCTGTCGATCGACCTCTTTCCTTGGATGAGCTTCCCAGACCTCCTTGGGCACTTTGTAGAAAGTAACCCAGTCCTCGATTTTCTTCTGCGGTGCCATCATCTGTGCCTTGAGGTTGACCTTTTTCAATGTCCGCATACAGTGATGCGAGTAGCATCGAGCGAAACTATCAGTATCCTCAATGTGCATCTCATGTAGGTGGAGCCTGGGGGAGTAACATCCAGTGCCAGTGATCTGGAACAGGATACCCGAAAGAGTGCCCGAGCCAAACTTGACCCATTCTTCTTCTTTGACCAATGCACCTTCTTCAAGCATACCGCTGACAACACGAGCAGCCAGTGTCTCGGCATCAGCGATGTTCATGGTGGGGACTTTGTGGGTGAACAACGCGACCATGGCATCGGCAATTGTCTGCTCCCTGAGATCTGTTTCATCTTCACTCAGGTCCTTGATCCAGGACAAAAGAGAACTCAAAGCCCACGGTTCACTACACTTCTTGAATTGTTCTGATGACAGCTTTGCGGGATGGAACTTCTTGCGCCGGCCAGCCGGGATGCTTGGCAGATCCAGCGTCATAGCCGCCGCTGCAGCCGCCGCTGGGTCTATATGAGGTAGGTCCTTTTGCTGAAGCTGCAAGAGAAGTTCTTGCTGCTGCTGCCTGTATCGGAGCCGGTCCGCATCGGTCTTCGATCTGATGGGTGCATCAGTACGAGGTCCAATAGGAGTCGACAAAGATGACGACCGCGGAACTTGGGATGGGCTCAGCAAAGCCTCGCCATAAGAATCCGCGGAGGTCGGCAAGGAGGGGTTGTTATACTGTGAATAACCATCTAAGTCATCCTGCTGTTCCGAGTGGCGGTTATAGGTGCCCGCAGGCATCAAATTTGAGACAAGATCAACATTACCCGCAGGCTCAACGGGTGCCGGTGGCAATGGACGCATTCCAGGATGGAAGAACAGGTCTTCATGTGCGGATCGATGGGGGATCTCGTCATCGGATTGATCTCCAGAATGAGTCTGATATGGTGTTTCTCCTTCATCGCCATAGTCAAAGCTCATCCGTCGGGAATAGGCATCGGGTGCCGATAATCCCCCTGTGCCACTGGCATCTACCCTAGCATCGGCCGGGGTATGATGGAGACGTCTAGCGTAATCATATGCAATAGGCGGGTGCTCGTATTCATTGTAATACTCACCACGGTCATCGGGGGACACAGAGCTTCTGAATGAACCAGATGTGCCTGGAAATCTGTTGGCCGCTGCAGGGTCTGAGTGGTCTTCCGAACTGTAGAATAGCTCATCACCGTAGGGCACATTTGCTTGGTATCCTCCTTCGTACTGTGCTAGGTCATGAACGGAATCATTATCTCCATTGGTATCAGAGTGTGGCGAATGCCCTCTTGGTGATACGTTGGATCCATGCGAGCTGAGAACTGAGGCATTGGTCTCGCGTCGCATCTGCCCTTTCTCACGCTCCTCGCGCGCTATGTCTTCTTGCATCATAATCAAACCAGCAGTAGCCTCGGGGTCGCTTTCGTCAATGTACGCATCATAGTTGACGGTACCTGTCTCCATGTTACCGTTGGTGTGGGTGTGTTCCTCGTCAGGCGAGAAGTGCATGCGTGAAGCAGAGCTAGCGTGGGATGCTCTAGAACTGTGACGCCGGGCAAAGTTCTGAGAGTCCAACACTGCCGCCTCGTCCTCTCTGAGCACATCTTCGTATGCCATGGGAGCTTCGGCTGGCCAGTCATTTGCCCCGGCTTCATCGACTGGGGGTCCAGGAAGAGGTCGGGATTGGGGGTGTCGAGTCAAAGTGTCAGTTCGCCTCGGTGGTTGCTGAGGCAAGTCTAACGGCACAGGGGGCGTCGGCAGGGTTCGCCCTGCCCCGGAATGAGATACACTTGGCTGCCTGCCATATAAACCATTTGCGTGGGTCTGATGAACTGGAGGCGCCGGGGGCTGCTCTTCGAAGGAACCGCTTGGAATCGCTGGGGTGTACTGGGGAGACGGTAGATCATACGCAGTCCCTTGCGAGTTGCTGTAATAAGGACGTGATGTAGGCGGAGGCATATGCATTATTCCCGGGGAGCTTGACGGTACGTAAGAAGGCGAGGCGTTCGGTGACATTGGTTGGTACGGACGTGCTCCATACGGATGATCAGCGCCCCGCGGCGGCGGAAGCGGTGGCTGTTGGGAGAAGCCGTACGATTGTGGGGTTGGCGGCGTCTGTCCGTAGTGTGAAGCTGTGCTCTGTCTTCTGGGTAAAACAGGAGAGCTCAGCCCCGACACAGCGGCAGACTGGTAGGCTGCAGGATTATATGGTTGATGGCCCGAGGCTGGGGCGGCGTAAGCATTACTGGCGCCAGTGTACGTCTGGGGGTTATAAGTGAGGATCGGTTGCGACTGGGTGTGTGGAAGGCCGTATTGCTGCGGGTTGTAGGCTGGCTGGGACGAGGGTGCTCCAGAGTATTGGTATTGATACGACATGGTGGAGGTTTGCGAAGAGGCGCGACTCGGAGACATGCGCGACATGGCGTCCGAGGAAGTCCGCGAATATCTCGAGTCTCTGTCGTCTTCGAAGGCTCCTTGCACAGCGTTGTGGCCACCCTGTCCCGCGCTGCTACCATAACCACCACTTTGTGCTGAATACTGTCTGTTTTCTTCGGTCGCTCTCATATTCTGGGCCTGTGCAGGGTTGAAGAATCCAGAATCATCCCCAGCATTGTAACTCGGCATCCTTCGAGGCAGGTGTTGGTCCGGCGTGGGGTTCGGGGACGAATAGGCGTCATAGTGGGTGGTGGATGGTTGGACAGGGGCTTGAGGGTTTGTAGGTTGGCCGTAGTATGGTTGTTGACCGTTCGGATATTGCGACATGGTTTCGGAGGGGTGAGAGTCCGGCTTGATGTCGACTCGATTCTGCTCGACTTGGCTCGACTTGACGCGCCTAGGATTGCGCGAGAGATTACTTAGCGGGACAGTGGAGTCTAATCTCAGACACTCAGGTGAATGGCAAAACGAGTGACTAGTTTAGAGCAAATCAAACTGATTTGAGTGAGGGGAACGACCACGCGGGCCGGTAACACGCTGGCGAAGAGCTGGCTCTGGGCATCCCCAATGAAACCGTAGAGCGCGATATACTAGCCTTGGTAATGTAGAAACCAAGTCTAGCAGATATGCAAAACCAGGAGTTGTTTTGGGGGGGAAATATGTGGGAGGTGTGTTGGGATTCCATCAGCAGCGCCCACGCTAGTCGAGGTACCGTCTCCACCGCCAACGGGGTTCACCACCTCGTGCACTATGCCTATTGTACTCGGCACAAGTGGCTGAATGATATTTAATATGGACGTTCACATTTGCAACTGCCTTTAAATATACGAAGTATGAAGTGTACTAGGTACAACATATACCCATGTATGTCTTTACTCTAATTAACAATTGGTGCCCAGGTGCTCAGGCAGGTTTATTCCCCGGGGCAGGGGTCCGGGGTCATCATATCATACATATGCACATACATAGCCTCCTACTTTTTTTATTCATAACAAGGTCAACCTTCATATATCCGTACCATTAGGAAAAGTAGTGAACCCCAATAGGTAATAGTCCATACATGTGAATAGATATAATCATAGCCCCCAAGTATTTCACATTCCACGTATTCGTTTAGAGGCAAGGCTGAGAGGCTGAGTGAACCGTATTTGGCCCCACTGCTTATATTGCATCCACAACCACATGTGCAGTGGACTTGGGCAACAGTATATTTTCGCCTAAAATGACTCCAGACTGAGATTGGAGGGCGTCAAGAATGAGTTCCGGAAAGAGTGATGGTTGATGGTTGATGATGTCGCTATAGACTGCACACATTTGCATAGGAACAAGTGGTTGACGGTCCTAGAAGTAAAAGGAAAAGAAATTAAAGGATTGGAGAAATGAGACATTTCATTGAAACAGACGTGTCCATAAACACAAGCATCCTCAATAATAAACAGAATCAGGCTCGAACCACTCCAGTGAGAATTCGCTATTAAACAATTGCCACATTCTCAACGCATCATCAGGTGTATAGTTTCCATCACTTGGTGTTTGCAATTGCTGAGGGTACCCTCCAGCAACGGGATCCACATAAGGAGATCTAGCCATCAAGAGATGCGCATTCTCATGAGTAGCCGGATGGTCGTTCCTGGTCCCAGTCATTGAAGGGTACAAAGTAAGGACTTTGGCCTGCGGGCCCATGCGCTGCTTGGCTTGGATCAACGGTACGCAGAGATTCTGCAGGTAGTCCAGAAGTTTCAGGAGTTTTGAAATATATGGACTTGCGGCGAACTGAGACAGGCTTTGGGTGATGTCTTGCATTAGATTGTAGTCATCCATGTCTAATTCCCCAATGATGTTGCAGAAGAGAACAAAGAATGGACTCAAGGGGTATAGAAGAATAGTCCTGAGGAAAATACAGAGATATTAGTGGGAGGACTGATGATGCTTAGCATAACTAACCATGTTAGGAATGTGGGATAAGGATCCACGAAGCCCGGGGTATCCGCAAGGTTCTTCTGAAGGTGATGTAGTGCCCTGAGAGATTTGCGAGAATATGACACACATTCCTTGTGTGTCAAAGGAGAAAAGGTACATTTTAACCGTGATCGAAGAATATCAACTAGAATCGCGTAATAACAAAATTCACATGAAATCCAATCCGAGACGATACAGTTTGGTGCCGATGCTCGACTCTAGGAGAATAGGTTAGCTCGAAGAAAGACGATTATGTAGTCAAACTCACAGATTGTATTTTGGAATATATGGCCTCCATTCGTTCTTGAAGCCTTGAATAATTGGCGATGATTTGGCGAGTGTTATCCGCCATTCCGCAATTCAGCAGCTCTCCTTGCACCTGAGCCAAATCCAACAAAATTCGTATTAATGGGGTATGGGGCAGACATTGGTCGAGAGAAATTAGATTCGAGGGAGAGATGCGAGGCTCGGGCAGCGACAGTGGTCGATAAAGAAGGGTGCTCAGATTTCGGTCAAGGTAGAAGCACCAGCATACAGCGCTATGGATCTCTTCATCGACGCTTGAATCCCCAACCGGATTGCGAATTTCATGATAGCCTAGAGCGGTAATCAGACGAGCAGCGTATGAGGTGAGAATCCAGGATTGACTCATGTTGCCAAGATACTGCATTAAAAATGCCTGTTCGATGGTTGTTAATAAAAGACTTGTTTTTCGAAGAACGAATGATGCCTTACAGCAGATATCAACGCCTGAACGAACGGAAGAGTTGGAGGATTCAAGAAATTGAGACTCTTGAGAGCGCGGAAAGCATACGTTTCATATAATTTCTTGGACTTCAGAAATTGTGCGTTGATGCGGGGATCCTTATATGCTCTCGGCTTTTGGTATAGATGGAAGATGGCCTTCACATAAATGCATGTACAATACTGATAGAATAACTGCCCATGCTCATGATCATTATCACTGAGAATGGTGGAAGCCATCTTCTCCAGTGTTGTATCTGAGATGTGGTCCGGCCATTGTACGGAACTAGACTGTAGGGTCGTAGCTGTTGGCTCTGTATTACTATTAGTGGACGCATTGGAATGAAGATAGCTTTTCTTACCTAGAAGAAGCATGTAAATTAGCTCTGGCGAAGGGGCAATAAATGGACCAACATGTTGAAGGTCTTCCTGTGGCAATTCCAAAGGCGAAAATTTATCGGTGATTGAGTTTCTCCTGTGCCCCGTAATATCTATGAATTGCAGGGCAGACCTAAGGATTGCCTTTCGTTCGCGGTCCATGTGCTCATTTCCGTCAAGCTCTCCTTGTATAACGACTCTCGCCTTTTCTGCATGGTGTGTGGCCGATCTAGTGGCACACTCGTCTTCGGCAAGTTGGGATGCACCTTCTATGTGCGACACAGGATCTGGTCTCTTTTTTTCGAGGGATTACCTGCATCATGATAATTTTCAACGTTTGGTGAAATGATGTTTTCAATGCTCCTGATCGATCAATCAGTGGGAGTACAGAAGTACAGAAGAATGGCAATCATACTCTGAAACTGTTCTTTCCAAGGTTGTCATTCTTTCTCCGAGAGCAGATATTCTATTATTGGATTCAGTAAGCATGTACCAAGATGGAGTCATGAAAACATACACCGAGGATGATTGCCGGCGAGGTCGTTTAGCTCTTGTACGATTGCACTCGACGCCTGCATCCCTACAATTCGCACAATGTAGCTGTCTATCACAGCGGACCTATGAAAAAACGGTCAGTCCGTAGGCAGTGAATAGACTCGATGAACTCCTTTAACCTTTCTCGAGTGGCAACGGTCACACTAATATCATCAGTATACAAAAGCCGAAAGCCATCTGGTGGCACTCACAGCTCGCAGCGCCTCGTCATTCATTTGGTAAATGAATTCGCGATCACTTCGCGTTATTTACTAGTATACTTTCGACAATCCAAACTCCCGATATGAAATAAAAAAAACGTAGTGTAGATCGCTCGGGCCTTGCGGAGGCCGCGTGCCGAGGCCGCGGAGCCGCTTAGTTATTGTCTTCAGTCGTTTTCCCTTTTCGGTCGGAGTCCCGATCGAATCGGGCGGACACTGCTATATAATTGGCTCAGGTGGGTGAGTTGAAACACTTTTCTTTATATTTATATTTGGAATTATTACCGATGAGTGACTCATTTGATTATTAAGGTTGAGGTCCGTCGAATTGATGAGTCGAACTGAGCGTGAAGCTAAAGATTGGTCCCAATTCGGATTCGATTCGGTCTTTCGGAGGCCAGGAGTACGAAGATTCTTATGTCATATCTTGTGGTATAACAGGGTAACTGGTAACTACATATTCCCCAAACAAAAAAATTTAAAGCAAAGGTGGGACTGTGTCTAACACTAAAATTGAGGTTGTCAATAAAACATATAATATTTGGTAGCACGGTAGTGGCCGTCGAGCGATATCACTGCGTGGATATAACTAATAGAAAGCACACAATAAAAAAGTATAAGAAGTAGGGTATATAGCAAAAACAGCAAAACATGCCTGGGCGCATCATAGATATATATCACAAGAATAGAAAGGTTAGCCCGGCAATTAGTATCATGGTGGATATAAATAAGGTCGTGGGTACTCAAGCCATAGAGATCAGCAATTGGAGTTGACAACGTGGAAAAAAATGTTTCGAATCAGCAAGAAGAAATGTCATTTTCCATCGTAGATTTGGTCAGGTGTGAGTGAGAACTGGCCTTTCTGGATCTCTCTCGCATCAACATGGTCGGGCTTGACGTATCTCGCAGTCAAAGCAAAGCGCAACTTGTTCTCGGGCACCACGGAATGCTATATTGGTTAGACCTGATGTTCAATGTTGGTATAGAGGAGAACAACCACAAACCTCGTAGTGCTTCTGAAGATTCTCTCCGTGCATGACAACCAGATCACCATGATGAAGTTCCATCTTGATGGTAACTGGGGCCTCTTTTCCCTTGCGGCCCATCGACAGAGCACGACGAGAGTCATCATACTCATCTTGCGAGATCTCACCAGCATTGAACTCCTCCTTTAGTGCTCGACGTTCGCCCTCAAACATGCAATCTTTTAGAACAGGATCATCTTGCAGAAGATTCCCAAGTTGCTTGGGTTCAGCCCTTCGGGTACACCCATTGAAAAACTTGTATTTCATACGGACGAACATGGTTGCTTTCGCTCCAAGGGACAGTGTGGCGATAGTGGGGCCCAGCGAGGACTCGCCATCATCGTGGAACTGAGAGAAGGTCGTTTAGCGTAGGCCATTGTCAGTCTCATAAGTTTGGCTTACTCCGATCTTCATTTCCTCGAAGTAGCCGAGCGTCAGCAACTCATTTGGAGGCAGGTATTCGTCTCCAGAAGAAATAACTGCTTTTTCAGTTGCCCACGACAAACGACCAAGAGCCTGAAGCATGTCGTTGGGTGCTTCATCAAAGCCCTTGGAATCGACAGACACGACATATTTGTAGGGCATACCCTATGTCATTTGGTCAGATGAGATAAAAACTAGAATGCGAAGGAGGTGTCTCTTCACTTACGTAGTTGACTGCGAAATGTGAGGTCAATGTACCGGCAACTGTTCCAGTGTGAGAAGCTATATTTCTGGGCTTGTATCTGGCTCACTTACCCAGACTGGACTGGAGCCGGAATCGTTTGAGACCAAGGTCGCCACGTTGGAGATTAATGAAAAGGTCATCCGGTCCATTTGCACGGCCATTGATTGCTTTGTTGGACACAAAGTGGGTAATGGTGCCAACTCTGTCGAGCTTGTAAGTCAACTTCCGGTAAGGGAAGAAGGTGCGGTCGTCAATCTCTGGGATGATAAACTTCCGATCAAAAAGAATTGCTCGCTTGATCGGGGCCAGCTCAAAATGATCGAGGACGACCCGGAGCGAAACAGGGTTCATGTTCATGAACTTTTGAAATGGGCAGCTGTTCACACATTCCTCACTGATAGAGTCATCGTCACATTTCCAGCCTTGCCAGAAAGTTCGTCGAATGCATTTGAGACACATAGGGCACACGATTCCCTTCCATGAGATTCGAGATGTGCTAACGTCTGCAGCATTCTCATCCAACGTAGACAAGAGATCGGGAATTAGACTGTAGTGCGGCTGGATTTCTGGGTCCGGACGACTCCGAGAGCTCAGGAAATCAGGATTGAAAGTGAGCTCAGCGGGAGGAGAAGCATTCTCGATCTTCCAGAAGGCGACGCAACCAGGGTCGAGGCACATCCAACCTTCCTCGTACAAGTGAACACTTTCCGTGAAGCATCTCTCACACTTGAGGATCTTGGGCTTTGTTTCAAAGTCGCGTTCATCGAGGGGCACAGGAGGGAGAGAGTCTCTGGCCGCCCACCAGCTCCTTTCTGAGAGGTTTAGTTTCTCAAAGCGGACCTTGACTCCATGTTTCTGACCAATTTTTTCAAACCAGACATTGGTAACACGAAACCAATCCATGATGTTGTACCGATGCGGAAGCTCTCGGTTGAGAATCTTGTTCTTGCTCCCTAAAAGGGTGGTCAGTAGGTTTCCTTTAGTATAGTCTTGGATAAATTACCTATAACAAGCCCAACAGCAAGCTTTGAGTTTTGGCTAGCAATGATGCTTTGGACGAGTGCATTCTCCGGGTCTTGGTTCTTTTCGAGGGTCAAGTTGCCCCCCGAGTCTTTAGTGCAGCATCCGCCGCTGATGAAGGTTAGTAGAGACAGGTCATTATTTTCGAGACACAATATTTACATTCTGGTAATGATAATTTCCTCGTCGATATAAGTGCGGGTACCACCATCAGCATCAATGAGGAAGCCATAGCAGAAACCTTCATTGTGATACATTGCACCCTGAGTGCAACGAAACCATGGAATCGCATCACAAAGTTGCTGGCGACCCTAGAAGAAGCTTCAGTATAAATGTCATATGAGTTATAACCGATTAGCAGTGGCATACCTCTGCCCAGGCCGGGGGTGTTCCATAAACCGGCTCAAGAGTTTGATCGTTAATAGCAGCTTCCAGCTGATCTGAGGAAACTGTCTCGTATCAGCATGTTATATTTCATGAAAAGTAAAATAAAGCCAATGGCACCTTTGATTGATTGTTCTTTCTTTGTTTTAGTAATGCGGCGTGTGCGCACTGGTCTTCCAGCCGCCTGGCGACGATTGACAGCAGGGCGTGGTGCCATCTCCCACAGTTTGTTGTACAAGTAAGCTAATTCGTGATAAATCAAGTAAGTACCATATTCAGAAGTATCCCAGAAGAGACATAACTGCCAACAAAGTCATATTCAGTGGCGGAAATCGATAGTCAGACTCACAGTATAGAACGCCCAATGGCACCATACAAGGTGAATTTGGGTCTTAATTGTGCTCAATATAATTTCCCAAGAAGTATTCAGCTTCGAGAAATTATTGAATAGTAGACAGGGATGAAAATCGTTAGATGGTGGGATGGATTGTGAGATGGGAGGATGATGGAACTAGGTGAGGGCAAGATATATTTTGCCAGAGCGGCATCGAGGTCGGAGTGCAGCCGGCAATAAACTTTGACGTCGCATTATAGTATGAGCTAGTATCGAGGGAGTTTATTGCTCATTATGAATTTCAAATCACAAGAAATGACCTTGAGTTAATTTGCTATAAGTTGACGCCGAGAAATCTCCGGTTGGTAACACAATGAGAGCCCCAACCCACGAGGTTTAGACACTTTGATGCTAACCTCCAGTAGACTTATCCTACAATGGGTGAGAAGTAGATACTCAAGAAATAATCTTCTCGGTTATGGGTGGCTTGTATATGAACTGGATGACGGAGATATGGAAACGGTAGGCTAAATGGTCGATCATATATGACATGCAAGTGGTTATCGATGAATATGTACGCCACAGCTGTACTTCAACTGCAGGTCCCACGGCAGTTGAACGTTAAGAAGACCTTGTTATATTCGCTATTGTACCGGAAGATTGGTCAGTCGAGTCTGTCATGTTTGATTTCAAATGAACAGTCGTGGATGTTGTCACTTCGCCCATGAAGGAACTATAGTAACCTTTGGATATACATATAAGAAAATATAACATGATCAAGCTGTATTTGATTTTGTAGTTAAATAGCTTCAAAAGAGCTGTTAGTGTACCACAAGATATCTCGGCACAGTCTAAAAAGGGTAAGCCGGCCGCGGGGACGAATACATGTTTGATGATCTACACGCCATGGCCACTTTAAATCGGGCATTCTGCTTTTGAAGCAAGTTTAGGAGACAGTTGTCTTAATTCTGAAACGGCCGACTTGGGATCAAATGCTATTGAATTTGCCCACCCTTTGTTTCAAATCTGGTATACAAGGGCGGAATCGCCTTTTTTTTTAAAAAAAAAAGAAAAAGAAAAACAAAGTATTGGTTGCTACTGGTTCATGAAAAAAAATGAGCAAAACTAGAATTTCCGTTGGTCAAAACTGTCACCTATACTCCACAAACCATCCTCGGGGATGTCCAGGTTGCCATCGTTGATTTGTGGTGGGAATATGGTATTCCAGAGATTCTGTGGGGCCTGTCAGTAAAGCACTGCGAGGAATGAAGATAGTGTGAGTTACCCAGTCAATCTCTAGCATCTGTTGACCTATGTAATTCGTCTGTCCATTCATTTCACCATATCCTGCCGACGTGCTCCCCGTTGTGTTCGTTGAGGAGTTGTTGTGACCTGAGTGAAGCATCGGATTGTCAAGTAATGGATCTCCAAAAGGAGAGAATCCTTCAATAGTAGTTGCCCAAGTACTATCTGTGCTGTTGAGAGTATTCAAGTACTCATTCACAGGCCCATTTCCGCTTTCTAATGGCATTCCTGTGGGTGGCTGGGGTATTCGTGATTGTACTTCGGTATGGCTAGACATGACACCGCTTCGAGGCATCGAAGCATATCGAGCATTGTATTCTGCCTTTGGCTCCCCGTGTGCATAGTTGAGTGGCATTCTAGGATCTGAATCATCACCATCCTTTTGGGGCGGAAGGATAATCATCGAGTCTTTGAACCGGACGGGTGTCTTTATTCCTTTTGCTTTTTGGTAAGCATGCATGTGCTCGACAATCATCATCAGCAAATATCTTGCTTTCATGTCTCGCTGTGCAACAATTTCTTGAATGCTCTGCGCCGTTCCGTTTTGTTCCAGTGGAGGAGGGAGGGTCGAGATAACATCCGCAAAAATAAAATCTAGACAACACCATATGCGGCTTGACTCTCTGCGCATCGGGAAAAGGAAAACCTCGAGAAGCAAGAGAAATGCAGCATGGTATTCCTGCCAAGAAGAACTGTACCACGCCCATTTCCGAAGGTCTTTTGCTGATTCTAACTCCACCGCGGCTTCCAAAGCGTCGGTGCCTTTGGTCAGCACTATTTGGCGCAACCTGTCGGGAATCCGATATGCAACACTGGTCATGTATCGATTTAGGATATTGATGTATAAGAGGCTTGTGGAAAGCTTAAGCACTAGACTGGCCATTTTCTGCATCGGACTTGGAGACGATACGTTGAAATAAGGGCCGTATTTAGCATCCATCTCAATTCGAAAAGCCTCTATCTTGGATAAGACTTTTGTTAGGCTGAGCTTCTTTTGGTCGAGTCTATTGCGTAATGCTATGCATTGCCGAGCCATTTCCTGGCATTCAAATCCAATCATAGAAAATATCATGTCGTTCCAAGCTTGTGGCTTATCCGTGGATACTTGCAATGAAGTCACGTCCAGAGGAAGTTGAGTTGTATATCCGTCTTTGTGAATGAACGGGCGGGGGCCTTGGACCGCACTTGTCTTGAGATCAAGATAGCAGACTTGATACCAAACTAAGCGTCGAGTATGGCATTCGGTGGGAGAAAATCCAAACTCAGTAGGATCACGGTGAAGCCCCATGCACTCGGCCAGTCGAATAAGCATACCGGTCAAAACAGAGTGAGCGCGAGATATCTCGTTGAGACACATTGAAAGCTAAACTATACATGAGAAATCAGTCATCCCATTAGGAATATTAGAATCCTACCAAGTACGCAACAAATGCCTGTAGAGTCTCAATCTTGCTCGCTCTAAGCAGATGAGCCCGACCGAGAGCTAGCTCTGTACCCAGTTGCAAGCCATCCTTCAAATATTGCTTGGAGGTTTGGAAAAGCTCTGAAATCTGTTCTTCAGACAGCGCAACTGAAGCAGAGAATAGCATGGAGTAAACAATTGCTGCAAGCGATGGGGGCACCGGATACCCATTCTCTATTGTCTCCCACAGAGTTTCGTATCGTTGAACGAATGAGGGTCGGTGGACAACTCGGGACACTGGATGAACCGCATCCCAATAGCATTCCATCAATTTGTCTGCAGCACTCCGAGGGGGAAGATACTGAGTCAAAGCATATCCCGAAGAAGCCTGAGTAAACAACAAATCAATAGAGGGCACCATGAAATACGGTCCTGGTCGCAAAAGGTCCTCTGTTATACCAGGGGGGCTCGGTGATGGTATTGAGGGGGACGACCTTCTGGGTTGCTGTTGAAGGTAAAGCAAGATCTGTAGCTTAAATCAGTCATGAAGCATAATGCCCAGATAAAAAAAATTACTGTAACACACCTCTTCTGCACTCCTTGGACGGTAGTAGCCACCGATCCTCTCTCCGATCCTCATTCTGCCAATCCTGAAGCCAAGATCTTCAACCTCATCAGCTTCGTCCGCGTAGACTGCGTCTTGAAATGCTAACGGTGTCGGCTCCAAATATCCGTTATCGGCAGAAGTTTCTGAATCATCGCTCATGGACTCTTCGGGCTTTCTTTTTCGCCTTCGCCGTGAGCCACCTTTTGCGGATTCTGGTTGATCTCCTCTAAGAGTATTATCGATTGCATCTTTGGCCTCCTTCATCTGAGTCAATCTTTGATGAAATTGGCTATCTGGGTTTACAGAATTGACATAGATGCATTGTTGTTGCAATGAGCGACAGTTTTGACATGGATTCTATCTGGCTTGTTAGATAATTCCGATATGGGTGTCCGGGTATACATACTTCCCTATCGCATTTCATCTTCCTTCGCCGACACTCAAGGCATGATTGGATCACCCGGTTTCGGCGCCGGGCCTTCTTTTGAGGTTTGGATGCGCTGCTAGCGGCAGTTTCGTCGGTGCCTGAGAGGGTCCCGGTATCGGGAGACTCGCGTTGTCGATGAGCTCCGTCGGTAGAAGACGCGAAAGTCGACATTTTGAGGAGTACTTAATGGGATTGATAGATACAACGTAAAGGTTCCATGGAGTAGGATAAGTGAGAGGCTAATAACATAGCCTGGATTAGCGACGTCCTATGGTGAGATGTCAGACGACGCTAAAAGGTTGAACCATTCATCGGTCAATATGATGCCACTATCGAGCGAATTAAAGCTGTAACCGGTAAATCATTCCTTCATCGTGGTGGTTTTCGGTTGACTCTTGATATTGGGATATTTATCCCAATACGCTGAGACTAGACCCGAATGTGGGTTCCAGGGTTTGGGGCGGGGTTTCATTTTTCCTTACCCACGGGTAAGCCATGCGGGTACCGGAATTAGGTATCCATCCATGGATTGGTACATAATCTATTTCTGTCTCAATTTAATGAACCTCGTTTTCTCCCATACTGTATCTCCAGAAACTAGAAGGCTCAGGGCATCGGCCAGATTTCATTACTCTTGGGGCTACGTTGATGATGGCACATAGAACTGTCAATCAAAGCGACAGCTGTAAAGGCTTCTGGGACCTTTTGAGTGAAATAGTTGGTTCGATGTCACCATAAGGTGGAGAATAGAGTGGCAGCAGGCCAACTACATATTGCCATCTAATAAAAGGCTAATCGAGAACGTAGGGGACTGCGCGATCAACCAGCTATGACCACCAAGTCCTAGTGTCCTTCGTGTGGATTGCAAGGTTGGGCTGGTGCCCCATGACGCGCTTGCTGTCTAAAATGGTTGTAAATCCTGGGAAATGGCGGCGGGCCGTGATTCACACCATACGCGACAGCTTCGAGTAATTGGAGTTTTGAGGGAGCCCTCAATGCCGTCAAGGCGTGGCCTAAGCTCGCCTCGTTGGTACCAGTATTCATCCCACTTCCGTTGGTGACGCTCAATGCCCCATGCTTCTTGATTCAATACATTGCCTTTTTCGTCATTGGATAGTCGAATAAAGTCTGTGAGAGTCATGTTCTCAAATGAAGTCATTCCGCATTCTTAGAACCTTGCCAGTCGGTGGGTCAAAGCCTCGTTTGATCTGCGACTCAACTCATAGATATGTGCCATTGCATCTCTATAACTCTCTTGGAGAGTTTCGACCTCATTATCACTTCCAAGATGATGCCTAGGGCGCTAACCATCGTGGAATCCTTTCCGGTGCTTCATGGCTGCCGATTTGTAAATCCTGGTGACAGCAGGTGAGCCAGGAGTCGGCTTTCGGTAACTTAACCCCAGAGTACCATGGTTATCAAATGTAGTGTGAGGCATTATACGAAAACAGTTGCTGTAGGCTTGCAATATCAATTGTCATTCGGCTTCAGGCTAGGCGATTGGAGTTCGTTGGGTCTTACATTGTAGATGGGTGTGGTCGCACCTTATTGCAGAGACTCGAGAAACAGCAGCCGTTCACAGAAATCCACCTTAGTCGGTTGGATGACGAGTTGAAAGAAATTTGTTGGGCTGGCCCATATCAGACCTGGGTCCAAGAGTTGGAAGATGGAATACAGTATCTCCGCTGGCAGCTTGGTCAGTGACGGAGAGGACCGGCCTCGGGAGCCTTGGCGGTCTCACATCAAACTATTGGCCCCCAAATTCCTAGTCTCCTTTGCGAGCCATTTTGCCGCCATGCGAAGCAGCATACACTCCCAGTCGCGTTGGTGAAAGGATACTGGCCCGTCTCTAACTATAAAGTGCCAAGACACCATGAGATATAGCTATAACTTCTCGGAGGTGAAGCGAAACACTTTTAAGGATATTTACCTCCAAGTGACTAGGCTGCCAGCAAAGGTTATTGGGAAGAGGTGGGTTGTAACTAATAATAGTGGGATGAAATACCGATTATATTGATTTTTCTATAATCCTACGGCCGTAAGTTGAACATCTAGAGATCTCCGTAGTAAGCATACAGGCAAACTTAATAAAAATAGGCTAGAGTATGTACTGAGCTTGGGGCCACTATTTCGAAAGATTTCCGTAAACAGGTAGAATTATAAATTCATACGGCCGTAAGGACTAGCTCTTGGCAAATTGGGCCGCTAATAGCTCCCCACCTCCGACTTTGCACTGCCATGAGGCTCCCATTTTCATGATTTATGTCCGCTGGACTCTGTTGAGTTGTACTATAATCTCACCCTCCATATGATCCTCTCATGTCATAGGTCAAATCAGTTCTGTGCAGCCTAGACCGGAAATACAACCCGGCTTACTGTGTAGTTCTAGTTTCTTGGCGAGATCAGTGGATTTTAACACCAAGGGCGAAGCCAAGACAGACTGTGAAGGTCATGGTACTCGAATTTATAAAGATGAGATCGATCCCATCAGGTGAAAGTAGATGAAGTAGATTCTAACAAGGATCCCACCAATATAAACTCTGTATCTCGACATCAATTGGTTATAAAGCCTTCCCATCACAATGCTTATCACTCGAGACGAAGCACCGATTGAGTGTACGAAAGTAACTCCTGAATGTCCTATCTCTGGTACTATCTCTGGATATGCCCCCAACTTCGCCGCAAGCATCGCATTTTGTGTTATCTTTGGAATTCTTGGTCTGGTCCAGCTTGTCCAGATGCTCAAATGGCGCATGTGGTCTTTCGGTATTCCTATGGTTCTAGGAGCCGTCTCAGAGGTTATCGGTAAGTAAATTTGCTACTTTCAACCGCAATATGCCCCTGAAATTACTTGGAGCATCAAGATCATATTTAACAAATTTGGATAGGGTACGTTGGCCGACTTATGCTGCACAGTAACGCATACTCCGACGTCGGGTTTAAAACACAGATTTGCACCCTGATAATTGCACCTGCCTTCTGGTCGGCCGCTATCTACTTGACGTTAAAGCATGTAGTCATTCTTTTTGGACGCAAGTACTCGATGCTCAGAGCGGCATGGTATCCTTACATATTCGTCTCTTGTGATATACTATCGCTCGTTCTTCAAGGAGCTGGTGGTGCTCTTGCAGCTACAGCCACCACTTCCGACGAATCTTCCCTTGGAGGTAATATCATGTTGGCTGGAATTGTCTGGCAGGTGGTTACTCTGACAGTGTTTGGGCTACTGTGGGCACAATACTTTTGGCGCGTCAAGAAGGCACAAGGGCATCATTTGTCGGTGGAGGCTGAGAATGTTTGGGCGTGCAAGAATTTCTGGATCTTTTTTGGTGGCATTGGAGTGGCATTTTTGACAACCTATGCACGATGTGTCTACCGGTAAGAATATCTCACATGCTACGGTTTTTTTAAACATACTAATTCGTTATTTAGTATCGCGGAAATGGCCGGTGGATGGCAGAATCCTATTATGCAAGATGAACTCACCTTCATCATCTTTGAATCTGTGTACGCTTGAACGCACTCCCATCTCTACTTGAACTCAAAAAGCTAACGATAAGGGTACAGGATGTGCGCTGTAGCCGTTTTAGCCCTTTGCATCACACACCCGGGACACTTTTTCAAACACATGAACGGAAAATATGCATCGCTAAGTACAGAGGATTCTATTTCTCTACAAGGAAAGTCGGCTCGGGAGAGCGTGGTCTAATCGCAGTTGGAAACTCCCAAATCCAAAAAGCCGCCTCCAATTAGCGTTGCTTAAGAATTAGATATGAACTGTTACTGTTTGAAGTGATCATTTCGGAAGCAATAGAGAATATGGTCAAACTTACTATGACAGTCTCGTGTATACGCAAAGGTATATACCGCCTTACTATGAACAAGTAGTAACATTGAACCCACCTATGGTGGACTCCAAGAACAAGTCGTAGCGCGACGAAGCCTCTATTTATGAGTCCCATCATGTTATAGATTATGTTTAAGGAACTTGGAAACTGAAGGGTGTGTCCGTAGAGAATAATCAGAGATAACTTCTCAAAGCGGCAGCAACAAAGAGATAGATACAAGTCAACATCGATGGAAGTGAGGAGAAAATGCATGGGATAGCTGAATGAGATGAGGCATGTAGTAATATAACGCACACACATATGTATATGTGCTCATCTAAGTTGCAAAGAGAGAGCGAGACCTGAGAGCCTTAGGAGGGAATATCATCACGCTCACGCTCTGTCTCGGTGGGACGGTTGGTAGGGAGCACCGTGTACAAGATTTAGAAAAACTAAAAAACGACAACGACAGCGACTTTCTATAGGGTAATGTATTGTAGATTATCCTTCTACTTTATTCTACAGGTAGTAGCACCTATTGCCAAATTTGGTCCAAATCAGCCGTACTCGGCACAGTTGAAATGGGTAAGTCAGCGGGCGCGAATGAGGATTTGATCATCTACACGCCAAGGTCACTTTAAATCGAGCATTCTGCTTTTAAAGCAAGTTTAGGAGACAAATATCTTGATTTCTCGGGGTAATTCCGACTTTCTATTCATCAGGAACCGAAGCAAATTCTTGTACAGCAACTAAAGCTAATATTAGATATAGCATGTATATAATACCCTCGGATATGTATAGACCGAGGTAACTCTGGTCTTGGCATAAACTCCAACTGTAAGCAGCTAAAGTGCGTAAAATACCCACCGAGTCGAACGGCATAAATTTAGGCCGGTTACCCAATTTCGGTTACCCAATTTCGGTCAGAAAGAAACTACTCCGTACTACTCCATACCTATATTGTAGGTACTAGCGGTATAACCATTTAGGGATCGCCATGTTTGCCGAAGTTCCCCGCACCCGTCACTTTTCATAAATCTCCCCTTAGCTAGTTAGTTCTCTAAACCCTTGCTTATTCCCATTATAGCCTTAAACCGTGAGTCAGACTTCATTGCGCTCATCTGGCTGCAGCTAACCGCATATTAAAAATAGCCGAAACCACCTTACTATCCTACTTTTTGGAAATTTACCCCTAGCTGATACCATTCGCCGCGACTCCGAGAATTTAGGGGAGGGAAAATGGTGTTTTTGCCTTCAAAGGAATCGGGCCAATTGGACTCAATTCCTGACAGTATCCCAATCAGCGAGTTTATGCTTAATGAGAAATATGGACGAGTGCCACACGCCAGCTCCCGGGACCCATACACATGTGGCATCAGCGGAAAGTCATACTCGTCACAAGAGGTAGCCTATCACGTTGACTCGCTGGCTCGTAGTCTTTCAAAAGAATTTGGTTGGGCGCCAAATGAAGGGTCGGAATGGGATAAGACACTGGCTGTGTTTGCTCTCAACACTGTAGGTGGAAATCCTGTATCAAAAAGAATAGAAAGAAGCTTATTCTTTCGTTTTGCCATTAGATCAATTCCTTACCCCTATTCTGGGCCGTTCACAAACTGGGGGGTGTTCTCACTCCCGCAAATGCATCATACTCCGCTGCCGAGTTAACACATCAGCTGCTTGATTCCAAGGCCAAGGCCCTGGTTACTTGTGTTCCTCTCCTCTCCATCTCGCTGGAAGCTGCAGCCAAGGCTGGTCTCCCGAGGAACCGGATCTACCTACTCGATGTACCCAAGCAACTTCTTGGCAGCGCGAAAGTTCCAACAGAATACAAGTCTGTTTCCGAACTCATCGAGGCTGGAAAGTCCCTACCGCCAGTGGATGAATTGCGATGGAGCGCAGGTGAGGCAGCCCGACGAACAGCATTTTTGTGCTACTCGAGTGGAACATCTGGATTGCCGGTAAGCAGTGTCCCAATCACTTGAATAACACTTTAGCTGATAAGGTGCTGCAAAACAGAAAGGAGTGAAGATCTCACACCGCAATGTGATTGCCAATACCCTTCAGATCAAGGCATTTGAGCAGAACTATCGGGATGGTGGGGACACAAAACCCACGAGTACTGAGGTTGCTCTTGGTCTCCTTCCGCAGAGCCATATCTATGCTCTTGTGGTCATTGGTCATGCTGGTGCATACCGAGGCGACCAAACAATCATTCTCCCCAAGTTCGAATTGCAATCCTACCTGAATGCCATTCAACACTATAAGATCACCACTCTCTTCCTGGTGAGAATTTCTTTGCTGACGAGAAGACCCTGTCAAATGCTGACCGCAACCACTTAGGTGCCTCCGATCATCATCCACATGCTGGGCACTCAAGACGTGTGCTCCAAGTATGACCTGAGCTCGGTGCGGGCTTTGTTCACGGGTGCGGCACCCCTGGGCATGGAGACAGCAGCCGATTTCCTCAAATTCTACCCGGACGTTTTGATCCGCCAAGGATACGGTATGTTATCATTAGCGCTTCTCATAGACAGACACACAGCTGACATTTTCACGCATAGGCTTGACTGAAACGTCCACGGTCATAAGCTCCACCCACCCCGACGATATCTGGCTAGGCTCATCCGGTGCCTTGCTCCCTGGAGTCGAGGCACGCATTGTGACGCCTGAAAACGAGGAAATCACAGCGTACGACACACCAGGCGAGCTGGTGGTCCGAAGCCCGAGTGTCGTCCTGGGCTATTTGAACAACGAAAAAGCCACCCAAGAGACATTCGTGGACGGATGGATGCGTACCGGAGATGAGGCTGTCATTCGTGTCAGCCCGAAGGGCATCGAGCACGTGTTTATTGTCGACCGAATTAAGGAGTTGATCAAGGTCAAGGTTCGTGATGCCATCGGTTGATGGAAAGATTACCGGTCTAACACGTCATTCCTAGGGTTTGCAAGTCGCACCTGCCGAACTCGAAGCCCATATCCTCGCCCACCCCGATGTCTCCGACTGTGCTGTTATCGCTATTCCAGATGATCGCGCTGGAGAAGTTCCCAAGGCCATCGTTGTCAAGTCTCCCACGGCAGGATCGGATGAATCAGTCTCCCAAGCTCTCGTGAAGTATGTCGAAGACCACAAAGCTCGCCATAAGTGGCTGAAGGGAGGTATCAGATTTGTGGATGCAGTTCCCAAGAGCCCGAGTGGTAAGATTCTTCGCCGATTGCTCCGTGATCAAGAGAAAGAGGCACGGAGAAAGGCAGGTAGCAAGATCTAAAGATGGTTGGGATAGCTATGATTAGAGTTTGATTTTTGAAGAGCTTGGAAGAAACACTGGTATAGGTATAGTCCAAACTTTTCATTACAATATCTTATTTATACAATTGTACCTCCCTTCGTACCAATTCTGTCCATGAGGTCAACCTTGCTAGAGTAATGCATATACCATCCAACTAGTTATACCATTCAAAAGTTATATATTATCAGGGGTTATGCCATTTATACTTAATTTGTAAGCAATACTCACGAATATCAAGCTTTGCTAATCATCAAATAGTCACATACATTGTATATATAGAAATGTCTCTTGCACAAAGCATGCTGTTTTACCCCCTTCGTATACATTTAAAAGGTTATGACAAGGCCGTATAAGCGACCAACTATTCTTCTTAGGATTATCACCGGAGAGAGAAGAGAGAGAAAGAGAGATCCTGTAATTAGTATGTAATTAGTATGTAGTTAGTATAAAATATAGTACATTCTCGGTTTTTAGAAAACGAGAAAGATACTAGAACCACTGATTCATGAAGCCTTTGAAATTCTATTGCCTCGAGGCTTCGGGTATCATTAAAACAGCTCTGAATGAAGAATGTTATTCAGAGAGCAAGTAAAGAATCTTTCATGCCACTTGGGCATTGCTGTCTCCCGGAGGGAACTCTTGAGGGACTTCCTGAGGAGCTGTCTGTTTCTCAGGATTTGATCAACCCCAGATGCAAGGCCACGGCAAAGCCCAGGCCAGGACTTGCGTTTTGAGAAGACTTGGTGCATCTCGGTGAGCAGACGCAAGGAGCTTGCCTTGCCCGTCAGATTCCCGACCCCAACAAGATTGAGCGGAGTATTTGGCCCTTCAGCAATCCAAATGTGAATTTCCCTAGTGTCTAACAAGCGAATCTCCTTGTTTGAAGCTTGCGGTTTTTTGATTTCAGGAGCGACCACGAGCGTATCGAAGGCCCATATATAGAAGAAAGCAAACAGGAAACAGAGAGGATCATGGCAGGCAAATTTCTGCTTGACTTTCAATGCGCTGAAAACACATACAGCATGCCATAGACATTTCCTGGCAACGGATGCATTGTTTTCCATCCAATGCTTCAGGCTACTTGTTGACGCATCGACTTCGGCTTCCTCGCCTTGCCATCCTGAAAATGACTCCAGCATGTGAAGCGATACTACTCGGACAAGGGATAGTACATGATGAATGACATCCCGAGCGGCAATATAGTCGGGCTTGGCCGAGATGGGGATGGCCGCAAATACTTCGTCCATCGATCGAAACATCATTGCGCGCAGAGCTGAAGGGGTTGGTGGAAGATGGGCCCATTGGCCCGGAGCTGGCACACCGGTGACCTGAGAACTTAGACTCGATTTCCAGATGGAAGAATATGACATTTTGTCAAGGAACAATCTCTCCTCGCTATAAAGAGACAAAATGTAGAGATTTCGGCGATAAGCATCCATTCCTGCCATGATTTCACTGGCTTTTCTGACATCAAGTTGAGTGGATACAGATTGTGATAGATCTAAGAGCTATGGTCAATCCCGAGATATCTGGTCGACAACAAATAACATTAGCTCACTTTGATCAGACTGGAATATATGAAGGAAATTGTCAGCATTCCTGCGACACCACAGTGATTGGCGACAGGGGAACTCCTCGGGGAGTTCATGCTGTCCAAATATTGGCTGACGATCGAAGAAGACGAGCTGAAGACATTCAAGTTCTGGTAAAAGATTAGCCAGGCGTCCATGGCTTCCACGGTTGTCGCAGGTGGCACACACGAAAGATACAATGAAGTAGACGTATACGAGATTCTCTTGCCAGCCAAGCTCTCCATTGTGTTGGAGCTTGTGACGCTTTTGATTTCATACATAGATCAACCTTCAAGACACGAGCCAAGGTGACAAGAACATTTCGCTCATACTGCAGCTTTAACTGGGCTTTGTGCGACCCGCCAAACATCAGGGAGACGTCATTGAGGAATACGCTTTGTGCATAGGATAAAGTTGTTGACTCGGGTGATTGAGGCCGCTGATTTGATTAATATGAGGTACGGAGCTTCACTGGGAAATAAACTTACGTTTTGTTCTATTGCCTGAGACAGGATCTCCCCGAAGGATGCTGAAAACTGACTGGCATTGCCGAAAGCGCTATATTGACTCCCAACAGTGACCACAGCTAAAAGTACCATCCATGAGGTTTTGTCATGTCCGAATTCTAAAGCATATGGGTGAACCACGGGGTATTCATGGTCAAAGTGTTCAAAATACAAGTGCACAAAGTCTTGGATAACCCTCCACCATGGAAATGTCCCATCTTCTGTTTCCCCCAGGCTCACAAGGTATGACTTAAGTGACTCATATATTGAGGCGTTGGTCATCACATTGTAACGGAATTCAGGCAACAAGAAGCGCTCATCTGAACGCCGCATTTTGGGAAGTGATGATCTCAACTGGCGAGTTGGCTTAGAAGAGTTGGCTGGAGCAGGAGCAACAGGTGTAGAAGGGACAGCAGGGGCACGAGTACGAGCACCCGAAGCTTGGACACGTAGACGAGGAGCCCGGGCACGTGTAGGATTAGCAGGCGGTCTTTCTTGCGATGCTGGGCCGTTCTCATCATTTTCTGACTCGTCCGATATTTCCATACCATCATGCGAGACATCAATCTGATCCTGCGTCGTGGGGTCTGTACCAGGCGAGGCCAGACCCAGACCTGGAGTAGTTTGGTTTGTTCCATCTTCATTCAATGGGAAAGGTGATGTATGTAAGTTTGAAGATACGGAGCTCGGATCTTGAATATTCTGCTGGGATAAAGCACTCGTCTGGTCCGACGGCTCTGTTTTTATATTTTTTCCTTCATGGTGTTTCCTCAAATGAGCCGTGAGCCTATGCCTAATGTTTGCGGGAGATCAGAATTGGAACAATGTATGATTAGGAAGTGCCTGCAGCGCAGAGGCTATGCCATACCTCCGAGTGTAGGACTTTGGACAAAAGCGACATTTAAACTCTTTCGACCCGACATGTCCCCGGTCATAGCATTTCTGTGTCAGTGCTGTACCGCACTGCTCACAAGTAAGATGAAGTTGCGGGCGAGTATGAGTTAGGATATGGCGCTTGAGATGGTGTTTACGTCCGAATACCTTGTCGCATTGCTCACATCGGTAAGACTCCTGCAAGGGGTTCATGGCTTCTTCCCGCTTTGAAACACCTAGGTAAATGCAAAGAATCAGCGCAACCCGCAATTAAACAGTCTACATTCAGGACTGTGGCTATATATTCACAGAAAACCCAATATATCCAGCTAAAGACTACAATGAGGCGTTTTGTGCTGACGCAAAAGCGGTCACTAAAGCGGTAAGACACAGAGCATAATCTGCCGCGGGGTGGTGGATTTCTAAGCGGGGGAGGTAAGAAAAAAGATCGAGGGCATTTCAAGTTGCCTTAACAACCTGCTTCTTGCTTCAATATTGTTTAGGAACAGGTCATATCACGAGTGACTGTTCATCAATCACTCCTTTCAACTTCATATTGTTCGTCTTCCACCAACCCACGAATTGAGAAAAATAAAAAATGTCTTCAAACGACCCGCATCACGAGAATGGGGAGGACTATTTGCAGGCCGACGATGCTGAAGAGATCTTCGATCGTGATGAGGATCATCACATGTCGGAGGGGGAAGACGAAGAATATGCCGACGAGAACATGACCATCGAAGATGAGATCACCTTCCAAAACGACTCAGCAGCACACTTCGACTCGCACTCAGACTCTGTATTCTGCGTTGCACAGCACCCGGTTCACAACAACATTGTCATGACCGGTTCTGGCGATGACACAGCATACATCTTTGACTCGACACCCGCACCGCGTCCTGTGTTCCCATCGAGCTATGAATCCAACCCTCAGCCCAAGGAGCGCGAGTCTCTCGTACCTCTGGCCAAGCTCGATGGACACACTGACACAGTGAATGCCGTGGTTTTCACCGAGCCAGCAGGAGAGTATGCCATTACGGCGGGCCTGGATGGCAAGCTGCGAGCTTATCGGGACACCACACCTCAGAAGACTGGACTCGCATGGGAGTTCTTTGGTGAGGCCCAGGAAGTGGAAGAGATCAATTGGATGGCCGTGTGCCCCTACCAGCCAGGAAATGAAGGGACGCAAAATGTTATTGCCATAGGTTCCAATGACGGCAGCGCGTGGGTCTTCCGTATCGATCACACCGACCCCGGCCAGCCTATCTCGATTATTCAGACCTTCTTCTCTCACACCGAATCATGCACTGCAGGTGCATGGACACCTGATGGCAATCTGCTGGCCACTGTTTCCGAGGACGCCAGCTTCTTTGTCTACGACGTCTTCGGAGCTGCAGCAGCCGCTGGCATCGAGTACTCCCCGGGTACCAATGCCATTCTTGGATTGAACGCGGAGGATCAGCGCTTCGCCGTGGAGGGTGGTCTTTACACCATTGCCATTTCCCCCAGCGGTGGTATTGCCGCAGTGGGTGGTGCTGAGGGCCACATTAGAGTCGTTGGCCTTCCTCGAATCGCAGCAAGCGCCCCTGCAACCAAGGGTAAGGGCAAAAATGCACCCTCCCAGACAGCCAGTTCGACTGCTGCAGGCACTATCATGGCTGCATTGCAGACTCAAACCGACAACATTGAGTCACTCTCATTCTCCCAGGCCCCGTTCACCCTCCTTGCTGCCGGATCTGTGGATGGTTCGATTGTGATGTATGATGCGGCCCATCGATTTGCAGTCCGTCGGCACATTCGGGATGCCCACGAGGGAAACGCCGTTGTCAAGGTTGAGTTCCTGCCTAGCAGCAAGCAACTCGGTGCCACTGTTTCAGGACCCCTTGCCAATGCTTCCGCTGCCCACCAGAACCGCTCTTGGATGCTCACATCTGTCGGCCTGGATGGTGTGGTCCGACGCTGGGACGCACGCGGTGGTACCGCCGCGGCTTCTCAGGGATTGATGCAGGAGTGGAAGGGACACATGGGTGCCACGGAAAATGACGAGGGCGAGCAAGCGGGTGGCATCATGGGTTTCGTACAGGGCTTGGATGGAAAGCGTATTGTCACTGCCGGTGATGATGGTATCGCGCTGGTGTTCGAGGAGTAACCTGGACAAACAAAAGTTGGAGGTCCCAAACATGCATAGTTGGGGTTCATGTCGATAATGATATTACGTGTTTATAGAAGCTCAAAGCCAAACCAACCTTGATAACCAGCTCATGATATATAATAGCAAAACCCCTGTAGAGTCACTGATCGAACAATAAAGAAATATCTGGTTGTGGTAGTGGAACAAAAGCTATGTACATTCGACAAATCAAACCCAAAGCGCCATCTGGAAGCTACGCTCCGTATGAGCCACGAGAAGCTGCATCTCCGCCCTAACACGACAAAATCTCCCGGACTCGGCAAAGCTGTAGGCACTATGATCCAAAACCCGGCTGTGGTTCTCGCGGGGGCGAGACGACTCTTTCTTGTCGCCTGGGGTATACGTCCTCCGCTCGATGATCCGTCGGTCGGCGGCATTCTCAATTGGTCTCCAGAGACAACCTTTTAGTGGTGACCGTCACCGTGATGAGCGTCGCCGTGGTGGTGATCATCCTTCAAGAAGAAGTGCTCGTATGTGCAGTAGGCAGCGAAAGCGACAGACGCGATACCGAAGCCGGGGAAGAGACCTCTGAAGCGCTTGGCTCTGCTGAAGGGGCCAGTGTAGCGCCAGGCCTCACTATAATACATTAGTGCCTATCACAATTGGCATCACATCGATATCATTTGACGTACTTGCGAGCCCATGGATCCCGCTTAGCCCAGACGGAAGATGGGGAGGCCGCGGCCTTGAACTGGGCGAGGTCGAAACCGGTGGGGTTACGGGCGGGCATTGTGGGAGTTGTCCGGTAGTAAATATCACTGAAAGACGGAAATAAAGAGAAACAAGATGTAAAGGGCTGTAACTTGGTCCCTTAGTCCGCAATCAACCGCAAAGTGACACAGTGAGGAGCCGAAGATGAGGAAAAGAGGTGTGCTTGGCAATTACCCACGCTAACCGAATACGGTAGACCAAGTAGCTCTCCCGCCTTCGAGGGACGAAACTGTCACTTCATCCATGCGCATCCTCGAGACAACAAAATGCCACCTCCCGTTGGCAGATATGGGCCATCTGGCTTGAACGCTCCATACAACATACAACAAGCTCACCTCCAATCTCAACACCCCGCACACGCACAATCTGGAACGCTACCTCCCCCCTCGCTTGGTCATCCTGGTTTCGCAGGCAATCCGAATACCAACATCAACCCTTTTACACTATCTGGCGGAATTGCAAATGGTATGGCGGTAGGCGGTTTCCCGGGAGCTGGTGCAGGTGATGGCGGCGGCACCGGTCTGGCTAGTCATGCGGCACAGATGGGATTCGCGCGCGGTGCGCAAATGCAACAACAGCAACTACACCAGGGTCACGACGGTCGGTTAGCGCTCGAAGCAAAGGGTGGTGCAGTTAAGTCAAGAATTAGAGATGTCTGGAAGCACAACCTGGCCCATGAGATGGCGGTGCTGAGGCAGTTGGTCGACAAGTACCCTTACATCAGCATGGTAAGCATCAACTACGGATGTCTCCTTTGAGTAAGGTTTACTGACTATGACCCAGGATACCGAATTCCCTGGTATTGTTGCTCGGCCGATCGGGTCATTTTCGAACAAAGCAGATTACCATTATCAGACCCTCCGATGTAATGTCGATCTTCTGAAGATGATCCAATTAGGCATCACCTTATTCAACGACGAAGGAGAGGTCCCTCCAGCCTCAGGCACTGATGTCAATGGGCAAGCGTATGGTGTACCCGCTCCCTGCACATGGCAGTTCAACTTCCGATTTTCACTCGAAGGAGACATGTACGCCCAGGAGTCAACAGCCATGCTTGCCAAATCTGGAATCGATTTTGCCATGCACGAAAAGAACGGCATTGATCCCTTCGAGTTCGGTGCTCTTCTTATTAGCTCTGGGTTAGTCCTGTTAGATGACGTCCACTGGGTTTCTTTCCACTCCGGGTACGACTTTGGCTACTTGATGAAGATCATGCTCTGCTCCCAGCTTCCAGAAAATGAAGAGGAGTTCCACAAGCTTCTTACAATCTTCTTCCCGTCACTTTACGACATCAAGTACCTCATGAAGCACGCTGGTCGCAATCAAGCCGTCAACGGTTCTCCTCTCACTCAGGCTGCAGCACAGATTCTGACCAACCTAGGCCAGAAATCTGGTTTGCAAGACATTGCCGATGAACTTGGCGTCAAACGCGTTGGAATCGCTCACCAGGCTGGCTCAGACTCCCTAGTGACCGGCGAGATCTACTGGAAGACGCGCCAGCTCATTTTCGGAGGGGAAATTGACGACAGCAAATATTCCGGCCAAATCTGGGGCCTCAACGGACAAATGCCCGCAGTAGCCTACAACATGGCCCAGCAAACGCCAAATCTCAATGGTGCCACCATTTACTCGGGCGGCACCCCCAGCACTCCCAATACTGGGTCTCACGGAGCTGGCGCCCACACACCTCAGCACCACGGAGCTGGCTACAATGCCCCGACTCCCGGAGCCTATCAAATGGGCCGGGTATGAGACACAGTCCCTGACGCACCTGGGGTTGGTATGATATGATGTATGTACATAGACACGAGAACATCGTGTTCTTTTTCTTCAATATTCGGCATTGTCTTCACGCCTATGGCCTTGCGTAGGTCTCGTTGCCTGTGCGGGGTTCTTGCGTCTGGACGAAGGTGTTGGGCAGGAAGGTGCCTGGCGTTTGATGTGGCTGGTTTTGAATCCATTTACGAGGCGTTGATAGGCTCTATTGTGGCCTTGTGCCTTTCGTTCTTGTGATCTAGGTCGCTTTTTCTTCTTTTCTTGCTGTAGCTAGATCGGACCTGTCTGTGTCCTATGTATAGGAATTCTGGTTTCTGTTCGCTCAATTTGGCCTGATTTTGTAGATCCACGGCTCATTTCGACTTGTCCCAGTGGACTTCGTAACCTCCCATGGGATATTCTCAACATATCGGGACATCTTCTCAGGTGACAAAGCCCGCAGCTCCAAGCCCTCATTGAGGTCAAGTGTGCGATCCCAATTGAGGACGCTCATGCGAATTATCTAGTACGACCCCGCGATGTGACAAACGACATG